CATAACTGGGCATACATATTTCAAGTTTGCCATGGGTTGTAAGTGGCGCAACACTTGCCATCCAATGGTCAATAGCTGCTTTTAGCCATTAGAAAGTGGCCGCTGATTCGACACGGCAGCTATTTCGCCGCACCTTCCGAGCGCTGACCTCGAAAACGCCGGCCTCTCTTCATGTTCACCGGGCGAGGCCGGTCCCCGAAATAGAGTGCATTCCCCGCAGAGGACGATGCCGGACCACGGCGGCCAGAACCATCAATAAAAACTCGGATAAAAAGCCGGGTGGTCGGCGGTGACACGGTCGTCCGGTGGCCGGCGCCGCAGCTACCTGGCGCCGGCGCCGGCGGCGGGCGGTCGCCATCCGCGCTGCGCCGCAGCCGCCGGTCGACCCGCCGCCGGCCTGTCGCGGCCGCGCTGTCCGGACACGACCGCATCGGCCGGTGGCCAAAAGCGACGAGCGCGCGGCATTCTTTCTATTGAGCGGCGTCGGGTGGCGTGGCGGTGCATTCCTGAACGGAGGACGCTGCGAGCGAGCACCGCCGGCCGGCCGGCGCGGCGCCGCCGGGCGGCCGACAGGCACGGCCGCGCACGTGATGTGACTAAAGAGGCCGCGGAGCGCTCCCGTCGCCCGGCGGGGTGCCCTCAGAGTGAGTCAGATCGCAGCGCCGACGGCAGCCGGCGCTGCTGAGATGTGAGGCCGGTGCCGCCGCCGCACATCTCAGGAGATGGAGGAGGTCAGAGGCGTCACTTGGAACCCGTTTTGGACATGGCAGTTGGCGCCTGCTGGTGCCACATTATCAACCCTGTAGGGTGGCGATGGTGGCTGGCTACGTCTTTAGATATCATTTCGAAGAGAAATCACGGTCACGGGATGCATTCTGCATTCATCAGGTGAAAGAATAGGCGCAACTCAATATACGTACACATGAAGTCTCGTCAGTTGAGAAAAGCTCAAACAAACAATAACTTATCCGTCTTTCCAAGAAAACAGTCAAAACAGGGTGATTGTATGCTGTTGATAGTTGTGCTGGTACTCAGCTGCAAAAGGGAGTGTATACGTTTCGTATAGGACATCTTTCAGATCATTGTCTGTATGGTTGCTAGCCGAAGTTGCATTGTTGTACGGTAATGCTGAAATATAGAAGGAAAACTGGCATATGAACATAGACTTGTCCGTGAAATTGGAGTCAAACATTGAGCAACCTTTGAATTGTTTCATGGTTCTGCTTATTGTTGGGATCACTGTACATGCGAGTTCCGAATCGAAGATTTCTAATCGTTTGCAATCTGATGATTGCCACATATCAAAGGGCTGTATATATGTTTTTGTAACTAAGCTACCATAAAGGGAGCAGTTACTCCATCCAATATTTTTATTGTTAACGTTTTAGTTTATCACTTGAATGGGCATGCACTTATCTCCTTGAAGCGTTATAGTATCTCGGATCTTTTTATCGTTGCATTACCATGCTCAACATAATGTTCCCTAGCGCTGCCTAAATCCACGAGTGCCTACATTGGGGAGGGGTAGGTTCAACGACAGTTGCAACTGGCACCTCTGTGTCGTGTGACGTTGCGTCAGCTGTCGCCACCGCCGGGCCCCACGGTTGGCCGGGTCGTGTACTCAGCCCGGCAGCTGCAGTCCAGAACACAGCACACAACACTCTGCGGATACGGCCTGCTGGGATAGCGGCAGCCGATAGAAACTGCACAGATTCGGGCGCTAGGATATAGTGAGCGAAAGAACGAGGCACCTGCGAGAGATACGATACAGCGAGATCGTCCGGTTTCATCAGGACGGGGTGTGGCGGGCCTTTGCACTTACAAGGCGAGCTTAGATATTACTTGTTCGGTAGCTTGCAGTTTTTTTTTTTGGCATACACCTCTCTCGTTTTGTTGCTTGCTACGTCGATTCGTTATTTGTTTTCTGACCAACATTTCCGTTTTGTAATGTGCACTGTGCAGTGTGCAGTGTGCACGTGCAAGGACATGAGTATTTGCAAAATGGAGTTAAATTGAAAATGCAGGCTAATATGTCTCCGTTTGTGTCACAATAATTAACATTATTAAACACGAGCGAAGTTCATAGCATTGAGCAGGGGCGCGGGAACTACTTTCCGACTGGGGGGGCACACCATAATAGAGATTAACCTAGGGTACCCCCAAATCTAGTTTTCTCACCGGTTTTAGGCCACTTATTTTTCACCCCTCGGCCTTTTTAACAAAAAAAGAAAACATTTGCAAACAAAGTGTGGTATTCCGTCTCAAAGCTGTGGGGGCACCGCCCCCACGGCCCCAGAGTTGGGGGGGGCAAGCTGCCCCCACTGCCCCCCCGGCTCCCGCGCCTATGGCATTGAGCCACTAACCTTTCCTCCCCTAGCACCCACGACTCCAATTCACTTTCCCACACATTCGTATAATTGCAGCGGACACATTACACGCACGTTCGCAGGCCGTTTTGCCACCGATTCATCTAATACATTGACCGCTCTATCGGCTCTCCCGCGCTGCCGTGCACCGCTCCCTACACATGTTCAGCTCCGGAGGCGCCGCCGGGCCCGCCCCTCACACGGAGGAGCGCGCGCGCTGCCAATTATACTCCCAGCTGCGTGTCGCCGGCTCTTACGATAAGAGGAAGTTATCTCCCGATCGGCTGCGTAGCGTGCGCGCGCTGACCACCCGACGTGTGACACGTAAACTTGTTCGTTAGCGATTGTCCACCGGTTTGCCTCCTCTGAATGCGATTGACAGTTTGGCGAAGGCGGTGAGTTGATGGTTGCGGAGCTAGGTCCCGGTTTGAGAGCCAGGTGATGGGAGGTAGAAAGGGGAAGGGATGACGAGACATTCCTATCAGTACCGGGGCGTCAATCGTCGTGTCCGGCGCCAATTAGCTGCACTGGCCTCGGTGTCTCGCCGCCACTAGAAGGGGGGGGGGAGGGGCGCGGGACCTGGCGGTCGGCAGCGGACGGCCGGCTGCCGCCGCGCACTGTGCACCAGTGCTGAGACAGGCAGAGGGAGCCACAGTGCAGGCGAGTTAGCGGCGTGCTGGGACGTCACAGAGACCGGCGAGGCCAGGGGAGGCCCCACCCACCGGCAGCCCTCCCACCACCATCTGCGTAATGCCCGGTGACCAGACAATGGTATCCAGCCGCCTGGCGCAAGTCGTACAATTTTTATTTCCCATGTGTGCGACTGTTCATTGGAATATATGTGTTCCAATGTTTAGCATTAACAGAAATCATAGCAGTGAGCCAGAAATCCACGTTTACTCATAAAAATACGACTAACTCATATTCAATGTCACCCCGCGTGCTGAATGCAGGACTTCAAGTCATGAGTTCTCCAGCTGAGTAGGTCGCACCAAACTCCCGAACTCTGACCTTCCGCACAAACTTAGTCCAGGTTCAGCGCGACTGAACTAGTCCCGGGAGAAACTGAGCGCTCCAGAGAGTTGGCTAACGGCTCGGCTGGGCAGCGGCGTGGCTACGGTCTCAGTGACCTTAGCACCATATTACCTCAACACTTTCTTTATCCTGCTGTCGGAATCCGCTGCCGCTATCGGCCGCGGCAATCGCCAGCAGTTTTACACCTTGGAGCTCCGACGGCGGACCGCGATAAGAGACAATAACCGTCGTGAACTTACCTTTCTTGGTTTAACACTTGTTTCGTAATGGGACCGATGTGAGCTTCGCAAGTCCCCTCGGGCCAGGCAGGTACTGGTTAGTGGTTTTAGAAAAGCGATGCATGCTAACACTGGGCTGTTTTATTGATAAGAGGACGTTCCTGTAAACGGGCAACTTTGTAACAAGGGAGAGAGGGGAGCTACTGTAAATAATAGGTAAGATATGCAAGTGATGAACTTATTTATAGTTAAATTGATAGTTAAATAGTTACTTCATTGAAAAATAGAAAACTTCTCCACTCTTTCAATTTAAGGTATCTATTAAAACACATTATACACCGGCACAGCTCATAGTCCATGCATTAGCTCCTATCAAAATGGGTCATGGAACACAACACATATTGCTAATACCTGGTTTATAGCCAAGTGGCTTCGGTATTGCGATCTCCCATGACCAACTTCGCTCTTTATGGCTATATTGGCATTCTAACCTAGGATTCAGATGCTCCTGACAGTAGATGATTCAATTAAGAATGACTGATGCATGCTTTTGACCGAAGTTTGTGCTTTTCTTTTACTAGGAGGTAACGTCAAAACTCACAACAGATTCAGTGGCTGCAAGTGCACATCGCACAGTGCACATGACCTCGTCGTCAGTGACCATCTGACGACATCCGTGTGCCGCTTCTAATATTTTTCCTTGACAGCTTATCTTAATCACATTATCAAATGCAATCAATCAACCATATTTTATGGCGCTGCATCTACAATAGCATTACGACGCAATAAAAGTAGTATCTACTGCCAAATGGCGGATTACGGCATCCTGTTAGCTATAAACGTCATGGATGAAGAAGCACCGCTTACCCCGTTCGCAATGACAATCTCTTCTATCTCTCTCTCTCTCTCTCTCTCTCTCTCTCTCTCTCTCTCTCTCTCTCTCTCTCTCTCTCTCTCTCTCTCTCTCTCTCTCTCTCTCTCTCTCTCTCTCTCTCTCTCTCTCTCTCTCTCTCTCTCTCTCTCTCTCTCTCTCTCTCTCTCTCTCTCTCTCTCTCTCTCACTCTCTCTCTCTCACTCTCTCTCTCTCACTCTCTCACTCTCTCTCTCTCGCTCTCTCTCTCTCTTCCTCACTCTCTCTCTTTCTATCTCTCTTTCTCTGTTTCTCTCCTTCTCTTTCTCTTTCTACCTCTCTCTCTCTCTAACTCTCTCTTTTTCTCACCTGTTCTCTCTCTCTCATTATCTCTCTTTCTCTCTCTCTCCCTCTCTCTCTCTCTCTCTCTCTCTCTCTCTCTCTCTCTTTCGCTCTTTCCTGTCCTTCCCCTTTCAGCCTGTCTCTGTCTCCCTTTTTCCGTTCATAATTATCTAATTTCTACGTCTTATATTTCTGTGTTTTCCCATGTTTTTATTTCTGCGATGCCTTCTTTACGTAGTAGTATCTACTATATCTACATATGAAAGCAGTACTGGCAGATAGACTGTCCCGCAATGCATCACAGTGCTGCGGCGCAGTATCACTGCCGGCGCTACTAAAGAACTGATAGGTAGACTGTCCCGCCATGCACCTCAGCGCTGCGGCGCAGTATTGTCCGACGGTGCTTCAGAACATAAAGTGCTGATAGTTAGACTGTGCCGCTGTGCGTCCTAGTTCCGCGGTACAGTATTGTTCGCCGGCGAAGTAGATTACGGCTGATAGGTAGACTGTGCTGCTGTGCGCATGTAGAAGTGCTGCGGTACAGTATTATCCGCCGGCGTAAAAACATATCGGTCTTAGTATGTAGGGTGCACCGCCGTGCATTCTGGCGCTGCCTTCGCTACAGAATATATCTGTCGCGTGCTTCCTTTTCAACCCATTCATGAATCAAACAACGCAAACTTGGATAGATGTTTGACGAAAAACAGTACAAATCACGTTTCACAACTTGATATGGACACATGCCATCATGACGATAAACAAGACACGTGTTATTTGAATTATAGACATTTTCGGACCTATTCTCTAACAGTTAGGCTGACCCTCGTTTAGCAGCCCGTCTATAGATACAAAATCAGAAAATAATTTTTGTTGATAGTACGGAACAAAAGAAGCAGAACACAGCGGCAGAACGCCACAACACCGCGGCTACTGTCGTCTCTGCAGTGTGTTCAGCGCCCCCTCAGACGGCTCCACAGACCGCCTTGGGGCAGCAGAGCGGGAAACGCTCCTCGGTGGGCTCGGTCATCGTGCAGTCGGCTCCCTCGGGAATGTCCGGCAGAGGACACCTGCCGACACAAGGACACGGTTATCGGACACTCGATGGCATGGGTTTGGGTAATATCGATGCCACGGTTACCAATAGGTATACCCGTCGATATGTGCAGTTGTGGACATCGAACAGTGGAAACAGATGAGCACTGTCCGGTCAGAAGACTGAGTATCCTGCTGTTGCCCTTGCTGTATCCATACCTCATTCAGCATAAGGCTAATGACAACATGAAGAGGCTTAAAAAGTAACGGTGAACAGCAAGAAGCATGTAATTTTCTGCCACATTCTCAGCATTAAGCTCTACTTACAGCTTACAGGGCATTTCGGGTCAGCTTTTCATCACATGGCGGTATCTGTAGCGGATGCTGGTGTTTTGGCGCGTGCATATATTTCACTGAGATACTCTGATCTGACCGTGACGCAGCGTTTTAAATGAACTTGGCATCACCAAATCTGCACCTCAGCTGCCCCGCAATGCGGTCGCACAGCGCGCGGCTCCCTTGGGCCTAGAAAATTACCTTCACGCTGACTGTGCTCATGAGAATAGGCTTTTATTCACAGTTGGACTCAGTAGTTGGACGAAATTAGTTTTCAGAAGCATGAATACCCAGAGGCTTGTGGCGAACGTCACCGTTACCTTAGGGCTTAGCTAATCGGGCGCGACTTCCTTCATTTGGAATTACGTGGCCATGTGCAAAAATGCACTATTTGATGCATTCTGAATCTCACCCAGGCGGGATCAACAACAGGCAATTACACTCACCTCCACTTATGTTGCATGTTGCCATACAGTGTCTGCCATTTGGTGATCTGTAGACGCATAAGAGAAAAAAAAAACACTAGCAATGTTTCCCAGCACACAGTCTGTATGTACGGGGACCCGCAGTTGCTACTGTACAGCGACCCTGAGTAAATTGTCCCAGCACCCTCACAGGGAACAACAAAAAGCTGTCAGAGGGTACGCACAGAAAACCTCAGCTGCTGTTGTACAGGGACCGGCAGTCGATATCAATGTTATCGGTTGTTACTGGACAGGACAGACGGCTAGAGTTGGGGTTCGTGTACAGAAGCAACTGCGGGTCCCCGTACAATTGGCATGTCTTACTTTTCCACCTCGATGACGAAGCCCTCGCCCAGGAACTCGATGCACTTGACCCTCCTGCAGTGCTCATCGGAGAACACCTCTCCGAGTCGGAACGTCTCGTGTACCGAGAAACAGGTTATCGCGTCCCGCTCTGCGAAAAAAAAAAACACATTAGATCACTCTTAGAGGAAGCACGGATGTATGTTCTTACAGTTCGGTCATGAGGAAAACGTTGTCAAAGGCTTCCGATGCCATGACCGATATTCAGGTGGGTAGGTATTGAACAGTAACCAACTGTAAACGCAACCATGCTCTGTCTGTCTGTCTGTCTGTCTGTCTGTCTGTCTGTCTGTCTGTCTGTCTGTCTGTCTGTCTGTCTGTCTCTTTCTCTCTCTCTCTCTCTCTCTCTCTCTCTCTCTCTCTCTCTCTCTCTCTCTCTCTCTCTCTCTCTCTCTCTCTCTCTCTCTCTCTCTCTCTCTCTCTCTCTCTCTCTCTCTCTCTCTCTCTCTCTCTCTCTGTCTTTCTCTCCCGATGTTTTTACGGCACAGCCCTCTGGTCGTCTCCCCCAGTCTCAGCTGTACACAGTTGCATTGGTCAATCTGCTCTATCCAAAACATACCACAGCCCGCCCCTCTTGGCTCCCGCTGAAGTTACATCCTCAAACAACGTCACCCCTCGTTGACCATGAAATTGAATAAATGCATCGATTGAATAAATGCATCGAATTAAGCACGTTCGGTCGCAACATGTTTGGCTCAGCGGTCCCATTCATAGGAACACGGAATATTAGCACATCCTGGGTGTTGACTCAAGACCATCGCACGGAGGCATGTGGTTCGGAGAAGACTCTCGGAATGTCTGGTTGGGGACGAGGGACGCCATGCCATCGCCATCAAGCTCGCTATTGGTCGGAGCATGTGACGACTGCTGGCGTCACAGAATAGTCAACATGGTGATCGACTTGATCGATATGCCCCGAGTGGAAACGGCGGTCACATCAACGCGAATTCCGTCATGAAATTCTCAATAACAATCTTTTTCGAGATATCTGCTGCATAAAAGCAGCGCTAGCTTCTGAGTGGCAAAATATTTCACGTAAGGAATAACGGAAGAGCATTGGTTTATGTTTTTTATGAACTGATTCTATTTCTCGGTCTGTGAGGATTGATTGATGTCATTGATGTCATTGATAATGATAAAGTAAGAGAGAACATAACAATGGGATATTTTGTATTCCTCTTTGTTACTGGACGTTATGTTGTTTTGAAACACCCGAATTCAATCGTTGATGTTCTTCAGAAAGGTTGAGTGTGTAGCATGTCATTTGCAAGCCATCGGATGCCTCTGCACTCTGCAGCATTCGTTTAACATTTATAGAGATTGATGGAGGTCTGCAAATCAACCAGAGGCTTTCTACAATCCAAGTAATTGGATTTTCCTTCAAAACAAACATCAAAACTGGCAATTCTGGCCTCTTGCGCAATCGTTAGGCGGTATCAATATTCATAAAGCTCCTGCAAAGGCCTTACTCCCCATTGCGCGGTCGAGAAATCGGTAAACATACCACACTAAACCCTTCGAGAAGCCCTTCAGCGGCACGCAATCGGAGACTTTCGAAGACTCGATTAAAAATACTGCTAATCACTAAACCACTCGATCGAGCTTCTTACGCCTTGGCTCTGTATTTGAAATGCCTATATAGGCACAGTAGACACCCCAGCGCCAGCGAACTGAAATACAATGTGAATGACGGCTGCTTTGTGCACCGTTGTCTGCCGTTGGGTTCCTCCCTTTCAAACCCTGGCGCTCATGTCGAAACAAGGAAAATTCCGCCAGCTCAACTAACCATGAAAGAAGTGTTCTGCTGTAAGGACTTTCTCCGAAAACGTTGTACCTTGAAAAGTAATTTTGCAGCGATTAAGGCTATATTGGGCCGTGCTGGTTTGCTCATGGTGGGAATTCGAGATGCGATGACTCTGATTGTGGACCGCATTCTTACTGCAGCTGCATGGCTGCGTCATAACCGGCTGCCGTGTTCTGCCTAGCGGCTCAGTGCCATCACATCAATTTGACGGTAAGCGTCTGAATGGGCAAACTACAACAACATCATATACTCGTATCTTCCGAATCATTTGAATATTTCCCTATCTTCACAACCTCATTCTCATTGAGCCTTGGTCGTGCGTATTTCTGTGTTCAAATTTGGTCAAGAAGCTAGTGAATGAATAGCACTGACTGCAAGCCGCAAGGTGTGCTTAACTGATCTACATTAATTGATCTTAATTGATGTACATGACCATACTGTCGGCACCAGTGATGTGCCCAGCAGGCCCCCATGGCGAGCAGCGCCCCTGTCGGCACTCTCTGACCTCGGCCGCACCTCATGGCAACCTTACCGACGTCCGTCAGGTCCAAGGACGGCATCGGCTGGCTCATGGTGCAGCCGGCGCAACGTCGTCCCGCGACGGACGGGTGTCAAGGTCTGCTGCAATGGCCGGTGGGCCGACAGCCGCGGCACAACGTCTCAGCTCTTATGTGACCTGTGAGTTACCTTCTTGACGCTCTGGAATTATCAGTTTGAATGACGTCTCGTCTACGGAAAGTTTATGGGAAAAGATGTGCCGAAGTTATTTTATTCGCTTTTATACAAAATGAAACTGCTTAGCGTTTTGGTGATCGTTATGCAAACTTTGATGCTAGTGTTATTCGATCTTTCATTTTGATTGTGACAAGTCATTTCAAGAAACCCGGTGCAGGTTCAACCACTTCCTTGCGCTCATGAATTCGTTACAGTTCCGAACTATTTTGGCAAGATATGTGAACAAGGGAAATACTTTTTTTCTTAGAATCTAGAACTACAAGTAAACCATTTCATGTTCACTCTCCTGTTTCCGAACCGTTAGACCAGCTCACTGAAACAAAACTCTGGGAATTTCTTCACCACTATCCGCCTCTGACCATAATCTGCGGGTCGCGGCAGTGGCGAACAAAACAAAACTGCTCAGCTAATGCCCGAGCGCTCTATCGCCGACCTCATCTCAAAACTGTCTTCAATTAAAACTTTGCGACACGGCTGTCTGTGCAGCTCAGCCGGAGACCTGTTTGTGTCCCGACTCGATCGGCGCGAGCGGCAGCACCTCTGGATCCCGGGTTCTCACCTGACCGACGCAGGGCGGGGCTGGCGGCGGCTGGTGCCGCGCTCACCAGCACACACACCAGCACCAGCAGCACCAGCAGTGGTGGTGGCGGGGTACAGCGGTTCATCTTGACTCGGTGAGACGGTATAGAGGACAAGGTGCAGCGCACTCTCTAGCGGCACTGTCACGTCGGCAGCTCTCAGAACTCGTTTGTGGCCGGGCCAGCGCGGCTCCTCGGGGCCAGACGACGACGTCAATCGCTACGGGACGCCTCCTCCGAGAGAGCTAATCCGGCGGCCCCCGTCCCCCCGTCCCCCCCCCCCGACCTCACTGGAGGATAGATCCCGCACACCGGCACCTGCAGCTGTCATATGGTTAGCTGGTGGCGGCTGAGTGGTGAGCTGGTGCAGCGGATAGGTCAGCCGCTGAGTGGTGAGCTGGGGTAGAGGATAGGTCAGTCGCTGGATAGTCTAGTTAGCTTCTATAGTCAGTCTGTTGGGTCAGTTGCTGTAGCCAGTGGGTCAGTTGCTGAGCTTCTGAAAGAGGCAGGTCAGCTCTGATGTAGCAGGCATGTCAACTGCTTTTCTGTAATTGACATGACGAGCTGAATGTTGATGCTGTCCAGTGTCCACTGCAGTTCGCTGCAGCTGCAGTATCATTCTCAGTCATGAGTAGCGGTTGCTGCAGCACAGAATGACGCCATCACACCATATCGCTACAGCTGAACTACAGGAAAGAGCGACTGTTACACCAAACCATGTGAAGCCACACGGATCTACCAGCCAGTTGATATCACACAAAAGATTGGTGTTTGCACTCTTGCTGCATTGGTAAGTCTTCAGACAGAAAGAAGCTTTGGTGGGCGGCTGGAGACAATGACAAGTAAAATGATGCTCGGTTTCTGTTCGACGTCAGTTCGGCTCTGTTATTATCGAAGCTTAGCTGCCTTTCTTATACGACGTTCGTCATCAGTGGTGGATAAGTCGATGCTTAGCTAGCAAACATTGATATCCCTTGTGTGTAAATAAACAGTGAGCATATGGCCATGGGCAGCTCCAGTGCTAATCTATCACTCCTTGTGTGAATGTTTATGCGGCCCTAAATACCCACCGCTGATCCGCACTAGCTCCGTATTGTGGCCGGCCTAAATTGAAAAACGCTACTTACCGTTGACACTAAGCAATGGTTTTAGGCTTGCGTGCCTCCAAAGCTGATATCGGAAGCGCGCCAAATGACTATCCGAAACCAAGGCCAGCAACACGTGGAACGTGAAAGTTGGCGGGTGATATGAGTCAGAGGCGGGCGGCGGTTCTGAAACACTACACGGGCACGGTCGGGGGCCTGAGACACTACACGAGCACGGGCGGGCCTGAAACACTGCACGGGCAGGGTTGGGATGAGCCGGTGACACATCGGTACGGGCACGGACATACCTGTGAAATATCAGCACGGGAGGACCTGTGAATTTATCGTCACGAGCGAGAGACCCGTGGATCGCTGACCCCGTCCCTGCTGAAGCCCGTCGTGTCACACTGCCACGCCAGTACTTCTTGTCAAAGTGGTAGCAATGCATATCTTAATTACAGAGCGCTCACTAACCAACTAAATTCGAGAGCAACATTGCGATGTTACTACGTTTCCATGGCACAAGGTGAGCCGACTTTGCAGAATGTTTTTTTCTCTATCATTTCATTAAGACATCATTTAAAATTGTAAATATAGAATTAGGTGCCAGGTAAAGCCATATAGGGGAGAGGCGGGAGAATTGGGACTTATTTTTCAAGCCATATTTACTGACGTATTATTTGAAAAGTATTGTAGCCAAGCTGCTTTGTGCAGCACTAATAAAAGATAGGCCATTTCTCTGCAGCATACCATCATAAAAACCGAGCCTATGCAGTGATGTGGTTATGTGTGGAGAAAAACAAAAAACACTCATTTTGGGGAGAATAGGGACACACGGAGGAGAAAAGGGACAGACACGAGGCTGAATTGGGACACATAAAAATGAGGTATTAGGACAACATTTTTATCTCGCATTATTGATCTGTCTATGTCTAGGCAATCAATTGATACGTTGGGACTTAACTATATTCACACTATCTGCTTCGTTAAGGCCAGGATTGCTTTTCACGATCACGATATTCCGATAAAATGCACATTCTAAGGCTTTTTGGTCTACGCTTTGATGCATTTTTGGCTAGGGGGCGCAGCTGCAACCCCGTCGAAAACATGAGGGTAAATACACATCTTTTTGCACCTTTTACCATTTTCACCATTTGGTGTCCCAATTCTCCCCCAACACCGCCATATCAAATCACGCATTTTTTTGTCATTTGTCAGTTACAGAGCGTGTTCATGCAAACTAGCAATCGCATAAAGGTGGTACTAAGCTTACACCGTAACATCTTAAAAGAAAGATAGTTTGTCATATGCAATACACAGACAACTCAAAATAACACTCGAAAAAGCAAGTCTTTTGGTGCTCAGCCAGCACAGCCCAACCGACGGACACCAAAGGGTTGCTGAGGCTTTCCGTCGTTGCAAGAGACATCGATTCAAAAGGCAAAGGCAAAAATCGTGCAAGGATGCTACCCATTTTTTAAATATTGGCGTGTCCCTATTCTCCTGCCTCCCAATTCTCCCGCCTCTCCCCTACAGTACACGCTCGTTTTTCGCATAAGGTGAATAGTATTCGAAAAAATGCACAGGAAATTTCGTTTTTAATTAATCGATTCCGACGTGTCATGGAAGCGTTTGGTAAAAGAAACGGTTATTTTGGCCAAGCAATGCTTTATTTTGCACTTTAACAACAGCAATGGTATAGCTGAAGTGATATTTGAAAGCAGTAATAATTCTGTAGCTAATAACTTAAGTGCCTTTTTTAGATAGACGGCTACCGATGATCTCATATAATCTCTGCCAGAGCCTGTCCTTCAAACTGCGTCGCTCTTGGGGCACCTTCAGCAGACAGACTACCGGATCTTTGCAGAGATGCAGCGGTAAAATGTGACTGTTCAATGAACTCAGAAAAAAAATAAATCATCCAACCATTAAATCATCAAACATTCCTGATCTTATTGATTTGATTTTTCAATGTTTGTCATAAAAACGTGAGTCGAATGCCGAATATTTTCAGCTTCGTTATCGTCTTACAATGCCAAACATTTATGTAAATACTTTTGTTTAAATAGCCTCTGATGTTGGGTGATGTTGTTTTACTTTGATATTGACATAATTTGTGAAAAAAAACTATGAGTAGTATTTATGCATCGCGAGATTCAGCTGAAAGCAACAACGGGCTCAATGCTCATTAAATGTTGGCACTCATGTTTTCAGGTTTTCAAACCAGTAACAACGCATGGCTGCTCGCACTTGTACGGATAACAAGCCTACGCTTGAGCATCACAATATGCCAACATGTGTTTAAGGGCGCTCTTGATATGCTCTTGATACCAACAATTTATTCTATCATCGACAGGAAACCAAATGTGAGTCACTCCCATGTGACCATATTTCTTCGGTATGACAATTATGCTGGTGGCGTTTCTATCCAGTATCCCCCCACTGTCCCACCCGCTCTGTAACAGTTCAATCAATCAATTTCAACTGTCGACACGGTTTCCAGTGGTCTGCTGGTCTTCCCTGAACCGCTGCACAGAACGCCAGCGGTGTTGACAGGCGACGACCCGCTGCCCTGGTCGTCAGCTTAGTTTATAGCCATTAGTGTCAGGGATATAGAGGTGCATGTCAGCTCTGAAGGAAAACCTATCGCTTATCTCTGAGCAGATCAATAAGCATAGTCTGCGGTTAACACTGCAGGAGCTGGTCAAATTGAAAAGAGATTTATCATAGACGTTTGTCTTATAAGTAGATACGTTTCATTAATAAACAGCCTGGCTTCAGCACAGGATGTCATTTGCCAAGGATAACAGAGATGTTTTATTGAATGTTTAAGTGAGATCTCGTCTTTGTGGTGATAAATTTGGCTTATGCTGTTAATGCATTCCGCATCAAACACTCCGCAATTGCGAAGCATGCTTATCACCGCATTTCTGAATGCTTCTCAAGGAAATGGAATAATGATTAGATTATCAGACAGGGTGCCCTTAAGTCCGCGAAACCTTTGTGATTATCTATTTACATACATACGTTTTGTGCTGGTAGCAAATCAGCGTCATTTCTGGCCATTAACTGTGCGAATTACCAGTATGTTCAATAAGTAAGTTCCGTTTTGTTATAACTCGCTTATTTTTTGGCACATCTCAACCAAACATGGCTCACGGCTCGACGAACTCGCCCTGCAGGCGAACGCATCGTTCCCATCGCTTGGCCAGGTCCCGGATGGCCGCACGGAAGCTTTGAGCGAGGGTCTTTTCGCCATACTAGTAAAAAGCAGACCCGAGTGCAGACCGCGAGTCGAACCTCCGGCCCCAGAGATTTTTATTCAGGTCTGCGAACAGCCAATAGTCACTGCGTGCAACGGCTGGAGAGTAGGGATGGTGTTAGAGCACCTCGATGCCCTCTGCCTGCAGGGCATCCCTCGCCACGAGGGCACGGTGAGGAGGCGCGCAATCCTGATGGAGGATGGACCGACCACGGGCCTTCTCGGGGCGGCAACTGGCGATTACTGGCAGGAGATGCCAGATGGTCTCTAATGATCCTGACGTAGGCTTATGTTTAGGCTTTCTGTTATCGCCTGGACAGTAATCTTTCTGTTGGCCATCACCATCTCCTCCACTTTGGCGACGTCAGTGGCTGTGACCATCGTCCTCAGCCTGCCTGCACGTGTTAGGTCGCGCACGCTCTCCCTCCCCTCCCTAAACTTTTTCTTCCGCTTCCGAACTGCGGAATCACTAAGAGCATGGCTCCCGTACACATTCACGAAGTTGGCGTGGATGTTAGCCGCCGGCTAGCCCTGGATAGCTAGGAATCGTATCACTGAACGTTGATCCTCTCGGGTGGCCGATGCCATTTCTAAAGCAGTCTAAAAATATGGTGTTATTTGATCTGCTCCATATCGTCACAGAAATGGAATAAGAAGCTGAAAATGCGGTCACCTCGACATAAAGGTCTGAATTCTAATCCCTGAAAAAATCACGTGCGTAGACCGCGTGAATTTTATGTAATTGCTCTCCGGAACTTACTTATTGAACGCACCTAGATCGCACCTAGAACTGAACCACTAATGCTCGTAAATTGTGCCCGGTGAATAAAACGTCCACGTCAGAGTTTCTACATTTTTTTCGCAAAATTTTATACCCAAATTAACAGTTAAGATCACGACTGC